TAGTAGTACAGTAAAACAGAGTACAGGGCCTGGCGGAAGCCAATACAGTAAATGAATAATGTCCATTGAGCTGTGTCAGTCTGTATGCTCAAAACTAAACAAAATGAGTATTATATTTTTCTGTAAAAGGTGGAATAAAATTTAAAATAAATTCGATGATATATAAGATTTTGAATAAAAAATAATCACACATAACACCTCGCCAACACCAATAAGGCAACAAGTTAAAACAACTGGCTATCCTCCCAAGCTCCGGGCTGAAAATGACAATTTAACAAGAAGACTGTGGGCGCAAGAGTTTCACCACGCCCACATGTTCCCAATCCCACTTCGCTAAACATAAAAAAACAGAGACACTTGCCCCCTGGTTTTCTTTTTCCCATCTTGTTTGACATCACATCATCTCTATATATCTCTATCTTCTATACAACACTTTCACTTTCACACCATCCATCCATCTACTTCTCAACACATATAGTAATACTTACAGATCTCTCTCTACTTGTGATTTGCATCTACTAAATTCTAAAACGATCTTCAAGAAACAAGAAGACATGAGTTCAACTAGCAGAGCTTGGATTGCGGCAGCAAGCGTAGGAGCTGTGGAGGCTTTGAAAGATCAGGGGATCTGTAGGTGGAACTACACCATCAGATCAATTCACCACCACGCCAAGACCAATCTCATATCCTTCTCTCAGGCAAATAATCTTTCTTCATCGTCTTCGGCCAAGGTTGCGAGCACGGCGATGAGGAAAGAGAGGGCCAAGAAACAGCAATCGGAGGAGTCTCTCAGAAAAGTCATGTACTTGAGCTGTTGGGGTCCCAACTGATCATCTAACCCCTACAACAAACTCAGCTCACAAATTATTTTGAATTTTGATTCAGATCTGAATGTAGCAAACAGATGCTCAAATGTAAATATACTTAGTTTTTGATCTATTGGACCTTCTTCAATTCTTTCAATTTTTTATTTTATTTTATTTTTTTTCCATCTAATTTTTAGTTCTAGTTTTAAATTTTGATACAAACTAATTCAATCATTTTATAAAAAATTTAAATTTTCATTAACTTTTAATTCGATGAAAGATTTTAAAAAAATTCAATTTAATAGAAAGAAATATTTTAGATCGCTTTTGAACATTATTTTTATTAAATTTAAATTTGATTAAAAGAAAAAGGGAATTAAAAATGAGAGATGCTAATCTATAGTTTCGTTTGCGAAGCAAGATTTGAGGGTTTTTTTTTGTTATTTTAGTTACAAAAAATAAAATAAATTTTTTAATTTAATAAGACAAAACATCACATTCAATTCATAATCATTACATTCTTTCTTTCAGAAAAAATCAAAAAAATAAAAAAATAAAAAGTCAAGAATCCTTCTTAAATCAAATTTTTTAATCTCAAATTAAAATAATTTAAAACATTAAAAAATTAACACACTTTCCAAACGAAACCTAGGGCATAATGGTCAACTATCATGTATTATTGTTCGGTGAAAGAAGTAATTATATATTTTTCAAAATTTTAGGTTGATGGTGTGCTTAGTGGTAATAATGATCTAAAAATTGGAAACTTTTATTATACATATCTCATATTATATATATTTTTCATCACGTAATTTTTTTAATTATAATTAATATTTTAATTATGATATTATTTTAAAATTTTAATTATGATGTTTTTATATTTAGTTACGAATTTTTTATATTTTTTAATTATTAATTAAAAAATATAAAATTATATTATACACACCTGAGAGGGTAATTTATAGGTAAATTGGGCCGAGCTAAGTCCATCCGGTAAAATTGGGCCGAGCTAGGGAGTTTCCTTTGCACGTTGGACTGTGTTGTGGACCAAAGCAATAACTTGAATAGCTTGGTCTTGAGCCGTGCGAACTTTGAGCTAGGGCCTACACTAGGCTATCTAGACGTAGTCTAGAGACGGACTGTAGTTTAAATGTGCAACGAGTCGAGCTATGTCTAGCCCGGTAGAATGCCATATTAGTTTTGATCGTTTTAGGGCAAGGCTGACATAGTTCGGTTCACCGCACTACCAACCGAGGTAATGGGTTTGAACTATCTCACTTGGATGTCAGTGGGTAGGGTGTTATCAGAATAGGCATTATCTTTGAGAGTGTGATTCCTAGGTGGACTCTGTTAGGGAGAGCTAGAGTCCTACTAGGATGGTACCAGACAGAATCTATAAAAACTCATGTCAGGACCTTTGCATAGGTATTGCAATTCTTACTCTCAATTACACAGAGCTTTTGTGTCTATTGTCTAACCGTTGACTTAGGCATCGGAGAGGTTTCCGGCACACCCCTGCCGACTAGCTCATGTTTGTGTTTTCAGGTAGTAAACCGACGACGTTTGGAGGAGTGCAAACTTGGTCAATAGGATTATACAAGAAGATTATTCTGTGCTCATACAATTGGCGTTTGTGGGAAACTTTACAGAGAACAAACCTTTTGATCAAGTTTTTCTTCGATTAATTCCAATGGCGCATAATGAAGACTTGCCACATTCTGCTATCGATGGGCAAACCCCAGAAGGGGCGGAAGGTGCGAAAGTTTGCCTTTTGTCCCGCCCATAGCATAATTGGATCCCCAGTGATGGAATCCACAAAGAGACACGCGAGAAAGAAGAGGCTCAAGTCCACGTCGCTCTCAAAACCTTGATACACAGAGGTGGATGATGGATCCTCAGGTTCTGGAAGAGCAAGACGAAGTAATAAGGAGAATGCCAGTTGACATGGAGACGATGAAGCGCCACATAAATGGCAAAGGGGCGGCAGAAGAATAGATGGGTAAAGGCAGAACGCACTCACGCCACTCAGGAGATCATGACAAGCAAGTCACATCATCTTAGACTGAAAGTAGAAGCCTCAGGACAGGCGACATGCAATTAAGGACCTCTAGGACTCGTTACTCTAGGTCTGAGAGAATGCAGACTAAAAGGTCCTGTACGAAGGGAAGCAATTATCGACCCTCACATATGTTCCAGACGACATCAAGGCACACGAAGTTGCCTAGGTCTTTGGAGTTACGGACAGTGCTAGAAAAGAGGGCACGAATGAGAGAAGACGCGTAGGCACGCGACCCCCAAAAGGTCTCTGCTCTGTAGCAGTTGGCTCCTCGGACACATGGAAGTGTCGAGGTTGGAATGCCAGTATCGCGCCTTAGTTACGAACTAGCAGACAAAGCGTTAGCAAGGCTACAAAGCTCACTGTTCGTTCTGGCAATCGAGAACGCACCGTTACCCTTGGGTTTCCATCAGCCTAAATTCACCACTTATGAGGGGAGTCAGATCCTTACATACACTTAAGCCACTTCTGCTAGGTTATGGCTTTTCCCTCAAGCATAGGTGATCTGGGCTTGACATGGTTTGAGAGGTTGCCAGAAGGCAGCTAGCTTCATGGGTGCAACTTGCAGAGGCGTTTGTTACCAGGTTTAAGACAAACACTAAGACGCCGGTGGAGATAGACCAGCTACTCTCCATCAACATGGGCAAGAAAGAAACACTAAAGTGTTATAACAACCGGTATTGGAAGAATTTTAATCAAATTGGAGATTGCTCATAAACCTAGCTATCGCACAGTACAAACGAGGTCTACCAATGGGCAATAAATTGAGGGATTCAACGACAATGACACCACCCCTCACAATGGAGGCCTTAATGGAGATAGTACATCAACACATCAAGGTAGGTGAAGATGGCGCTCGCGTCAAGGCAAAGTTCGGCACAATAGCGATGCTGGACAAAAAACTCATGGCAAAAGTTAACATAGTTGGCCGGGAAGAACGACCGAACAAAAATGGTTGGGGTAGATGACCAAATGGTGAGGACTTACAGGCAAGGAGGTTGAGAGTCTGCACCGCCATCACCACGGTGTTCAATAAGCCTATCTACGGGATTCTTAGTGAGATACGTGATGAACCCTTCGTTTGGCGGCCAGCCAAGTTAGGAGAAGCGTAGAGGGGTTACGATGATAGATACCGTTGCACCTTCCATAATGAAAAGGAGCACCAAATGGAAAACTGTACGCTATTAAGGCAACATCTAGAGGAGTTAGTGACTGCAGGCCACCTGGACTAATATATTGAAAGGGGAGTGCAGCCAGGCCCTCATGACCGCAACGGGCCAGATGGGACGCCAGCTAACGATCCACCCCAAGGCATAATCAATGTGATACATGGGATCATCGAGCCTGAACGAGTATGTGAACTTAGAGGGATGATCAAAAAGGCTGAGCACATAAGAAAGGTAATGAGTGCATAGCCTACCATGAAAAAGGGGAAAACAGAGGTGACAAATGTCATTACCTTCTCTGATAAGGACTTAGCAAGGTTATAAAGCCCTCACAACGACACACTAGTGGTTATTATGCGCGTCAAGAATTTTGATATCAAACGAATCTTGATTGACTAAGGGAGCTCACGCGAGATAATGTACTACGAGACCTTCAAGCAACTCAAGTTTGAGGACAAAGATTTAGCACCCGCAACATCTCCCTTAGTCGGCTTTAACTCAATGCTAGAATAGCCGATTAGCAAGATAATTCTATCGGTTAAAGCTGGAACAATAACAAATCAAGTGGAATTCTGGGTATTGAAAGTCCCTTCCATCTACAACATAATATTAGGAAGAGTATGGTTGCACGCCATGCAAGCGGTAGCATCAACCTACCATCAGGTGATACAATTCCCTAATGAAGCTGGCATGATTGAAGAGGTCTTAGGAGACCAAATCATGTCCAAATAGTGCTTCGTAATAATAAACGGCAACCGAGCTACAAAAGGGTTTGTAGAAATGGTAGAGGAGTCAGAAAGCAACGAATTGTTCGCAGACGTCAGCAAAGCAGTCGAACAAAAGGCAGTAGAAGATCTGGTAGAGATCGAAATAGACGAGATGGTCCCAGAAAAGTTCTTTCTACTCGGCTCATCTTTATCCAGCACCGAGAGAACAGAGATCATAGAATTCTTAATCTTTAACATCGAGGTGTCTGCTTGGACACCGTATGACATGCCTGGTATTGACCCTAACTTCATCTGCCGTCAACTTAATGTCTACCAAACCGCCAGACCAATTATCAGCGAATACGCCAATCTGTACTTCACCCCGCATAGTGGCTGAGGAAGTTGGAAACCCACTAGAAACGAGGGCAATCAGAGAGGTACACTATCCCAAGTGGATTTCCAACACCGTAGTGGTGCCAAATAAGAACGGCAAGTGGCGCGTATGTGTGGACTACAAAACAGTCAACAAAGCATGCCCAAAAAATAACTTTCCCTTAACTCGGATAGACCAAGTGGACCTAACTGCAGGTCATAACGGACTTAGCTTTCTTGATGCATATCGTGGATACCATCAGATTGCTATGTACGAACCGGACCAGGAGGTTACATCCTTCACAACAACTAAAGGGTTATGTTGCTATAAGGTCTTGCCCTTTGGCTTAAAAAATGTAGAGGCAACATTCCAATGAATGATCACTAAAATGTTCGAGCCATTGTTGGGTAGAACAATGGAAGCGTACATAGACGACATGGTGGTCAAGAATAAGAACGAAGGAGACCATCTCAATGATCTAGCTGAGATGTTCCACATTTTGAAGGCCCATATTCTATGGCTGAACGCATCCAAATGTGCGTTTGACGTAGGGTCAGGTAAATTTCTTGGCTTTCTAGTAACCAACCGTGGTATAGAAGTCGATCCTTCTCAGATTAAAGCCATTCAAGATCTTGAGAGGCCCAACACAACCAAGGAAGTACAATATCTTACGGGCCTAGCTGCCACACTAAACCGATTCATAAGTCGGTTGTCAGACAGATGTTGACCGTTCTTCCAAGCACTGACGGCCAAGTTTGAGTGGGATGATGAGTGCAACTGCGCTCTGGAAAGCTTGAAAGAATACATGACCTTTCTGTCATTGTTGGTGACCCCAGTACTAGGAGATGAGT